AACGACTGCACTATATGTTCGGCAAACATTCTGAATTCAGACTGGCCACTCGCAGCAATAACAGGCCTATGTATAACTCTGTACCTCGTAGTGGCGATATGTTATACAATTTGTTATGCACCGGTGACCCTTGGTCGACCCCTTCGCATTATATTGCAAGGGACTCAAAAAATAATGTACCTAGCCATAGGAGTCATGGTCACATACATGGGCCTCCAGTCACAATCTTCCATAAAGGACATCGACAACGTCCTTCGAGAATTATGGAAGCACTAGCAGTTCTAACATTAGCTTGCGGATCACTGGCATGCCAAGAAGTGAACATTCTTCCACATCAAATTCAGCACTGCCGAACCGCTGCAGGACGGAGCATTTGTAACATCGAAAGTACAACCATAGTCAAAGTAAATCCATTCAAAAGAGATGGATGTCTGACCTTCAAGAAAAACAGCTCAATATTCACTAAGGCAAGACTTCGTTGGGAAGGATTACGACTACTTTGCAACCGAGAGCCTCTACTGTATACAAGGAATGTGATCAAAAAGGTGGTCGATAGCAAACGATGTTCAAGTAAAGGATCATGCACAAAAAACAAATGCGCAGACATAAACGCGACGAGTTTACTACCCGAACTGGAGATCGGCAACAAGTTTCCAGGCATCACATATTGCATGGAGTCATGCGGCGGACCAGACTGCGGTTGCTTCCACTGGGATTCTGGCTGCCTACTACTACAGAATATATGCAGTTCCGAAAGACGATACAGTATACGAACTATACAAATGCATCAAATGGGAGGAGGAAGTGAAACTTCGTTTTGAATTCAGCGAAGGGACAAAACTCCAAACCTATTTTGTGGGACTTCGACCAAATATTCCAACACGCATCCGAAACTTCGATTTAACATTAAGCGTACTGTCCATCCTACCACTTTCAGCTCTTGAGCACGTTTTCATACGATCAAAGAACAATACAGCTATTTGAGATAAGGAAAAACATCCTATACTTGACTGCCCATCACTCGGACATGTTCAGTTACTACAGTGCAATATGCGAGCTGACTGTGAGTGTTCACCGGCTGAAAACCAAGTGGTATGTAGATGCGAAGAAGACGACGTCAGAAAAGCATTTTCGAACATAGAACAAGTATTACCGCTTATTCATCAACAAAAGCATTTCTCACAGCATCCCCACCACGCCGTCATAGCGAAGGTGGAGCAGGACGTAACACCGGAGACTACACTTAATTTGAAAGAAGCAGTTACTGACGTGAGAACGGAAAATGAGGACGACATCTGTTTCATTGAAAATACTGATCTCACTGGATGCTACCAATGCAACAAAGGAGCTAGAGCATTAGTGATATGTAAATCAACTTACAACAATGTGTCTGCTGAAGTCGAATGTCGCAAGGGCAGTTTTACAATTCCTTCTGGACAAAAATCTCAACTCAACTTCCTTTTCGACTCAGTCTATATCCTATATTCTGTGAGATGTGGATTGACTCCAAAACAGTTTGAAGTAAGCGGTGTATTAAAATATGTGCATAACATTCAGGGAGGAGTAAAATACTTAGAGCAACATCATAATATAACCTCTTTCAGTATTTTCTCCCTCGACATTTTCTCTCAAATCCACTGGCCTGACATCAACCACATAGTGGACATCTACTTGCAGTGGTATAAAACCTTGATAATAACCATTGCCATAGTGGCAGGAGCACTTTTTTTGAGCTACATATATCTTTCAACCGTATGCCGTAAAATTATCTCATGTTGCATAAAAAGCATATGGAAGCTCATAAAATTTGAATACAATCTGCTCCAGTTATTCTTGAAATACATTCTAAAGTTGATCTTCTTTCGAAAACATAGAGCAACTGAAAAGAAGTCAGAAAAAATCCTCTAAAAGCATGCCCACGCGCATTCAACTTCTAAAAGAATACACACACGCATTCAACCTTTCTTACTTTTTACATCACCTAAACCGTTTCAGAAAGATGTCCTGGTCAGAACGGTACGACGAATACACCAGAAAACGCCAAGCCGAAGAACGAAAACTGATCGAAGAAATCAGATACAAACGTTTGTGCATCAAGCTAGCAACCACGTTCTCGTCTGAAGAAGACATCCAAAAAACAATATGTAGATTTGTTAACTCAATTGTATATATTGTATCATCCAACACTCTTTCTGAGGAATTCGCTGAAATACGCGGATCTCGATCCAGACTTTTCGCAAGCATGGACGCGACGCTCTACAAGAGCCGTCTACAAAACGTGCATCTACAAGTTCGTAACACCTTGGACGGGATTCAAAGCGCATTTGAAGCATTATCCATGCTTACGAAGTTTACGGACTTCTCGTTCTGTCAGTCGAGTCACTCGCGATTTCTCGCGTGTGTTTTTACGATAAGAGGGAGCAAGGTGTGACCTTAGACCCAGCATTCACATCGGATTTTCGTTCGCAAAGAGATGGACTTCCTCACGGAATTAGAGCATCAAAAACAAAGCGAAATAAGAGATGCGGGATTCTAAGAAGAAAGCGAAACCCACGAAAATGCATGGATCCAGGTCAAGGAAATACTCACCAGTATACAGAAAGATATAGGAGAGCTGACACAAAAGACCATCAGTCAAGACGAAGCAATTAAGAGCATCTTAGAGCGGATTGATTCCCTCTGTATTGCCAAGGCAAATCGTGAGCAGGAACCTGACTTGGACCCTAGGGTCCGATCGGAAAAGGAGCAAAACGAACATACAAAGGAGAGACGAGCATCTTCAGGAGCACGAAAATGAGTCTCTCCAAGACAACGAAGCATCCGAAACCCAAGGAAAGGAGGTAGAACCAAAAGAAGATCTAGAGCTCTTGGACGACGACGATCTCGAACTCGATAACGAACCCGAGGACCTGGAGCTGAGAAGACCCACAGATTACCCCGGCCACTTCCAAAGGCTTGATCTCGAAGAACGCATGACAGAACTGTGGGCATTCCTGAGGAGCCATCGTGAAGTCCCTGAGCGGAAGTTCCGTGAAGTCGAATTAATGAGGGAGCAGGACTGCTATCTCATCTGCTCATTCTGTTTGGCAAAAGGACAGCACTACTCAAATAGCTGTCCACTATACACCAGAGTAGAAAGAAGAAGCCAGGTCAAAGCACATTATGCCTGGAGAGTCGACATTATAAAATATGGTGTCCGAAAATGGGAAAAAATGCATGTACTGCGGATCGGAAAACCACGACAAAGCTCTATG